TCATCTGCAAATTTTACTACTTCACTGTTTATCTCTTTCTCCTGATCATTTATAAATAAGTTGAATAGGATGGGTTCCAGGATAGACCCTTGAGGGGACCCCACTAGTTACCTCTCTCAACTCTGAAAACTTGCCATTTATTCCTACCCTTTGTTTCCTGTCTTTTAACCAGTTACCAGTCCATGAAAAGACCTTCCGTCTTATCCCGTGACAACTTATTTTACTTAAGAGCCTTTGGTGAGGGGTTTTGTCAAAGTCTTTCTGGAAATCTTAAGTATACTATATCCCCAGGATCCCTCTCATCCACATGCGTGATGACCCCGTCAGAGAACTATAGTATATTTGACACAGCACCCCAAACCCACTTCTGCACCCTCCCTCTCACCCAAACCCTGCACCCCCCACCCCCAGTTCGCTCCTGTACTTTACCTTCCACCCAGATCCACCACCCTCACCCCCAAATTGCTCCTGTACTTTACCTATTGCCCAGATGCCCCACCTCCATCCCATTACCTGTCCAGACCCTGCTCCCTCAACAGCAGCCCACTTACCAGAAGCCCCCTCCCAGACAACTGTCTCCCCTGGGGCCAACTTCCTGCGCTCCTCCTCCAGGGCGGACTCACCCCTCCTCAGTTAGAGGCCAGTGAGCCTAACTTCAGTACCAGGAAATTGCTAGAAATTATAGTAGAAAACAAAATTACTAGACCATAGATGAACATAGTATGTTGGGGAAGCATCAGCACACTTTTTGTAAAGGGTAGCTATATCTCACAATGTATTAAAATTATCTGTGTGTGTCAGTATGGGGTGGATAAGAACGATCTAGCCAAGTTAGCGTACTTGGCTTTTCCAAACGTTTGATAAAGTTCCTCCCAAAAGGCTGTTAAGAAAATTAAGAAAATTAAGTAGTTATGGGATGGAAAGGAAGGTTCTCTGAATGATCAGTAACTGATTAAGAAACAAAGGATATGAATAAATGGTCATTGTGTACAATGAAGAGAGGTAAGTAGTAAGTTTCCCCCAAGGATCTGCACTGGGGCCTGTACTGCTCAGCATGTTCATTAATGATTGGGAAAAGGGAATGAATAGTGAAGTGGCAAAGTTTGCAGAGAACAGTTTTTCAAGAGAGTTAAGTCCAAATCTCACTGTGAATAACTACAGGGATATCTCACAGAACTGGGTGCATAATAAACAAATGGCAAAGGAAATTTAGCACTGATAAGTGCAGAGTAATACATATTGGAAAAAATAATCCCAAGTATACATGTATAATGATAGGTTCTAAATTAGCTGTTACCACTCAGGAAATAGATCTAGTGGTTATTTTGGATAGTTCTCTGCACCCTTTTGAAAAATCCCACGGCTGTTTGTTTCATCAACACAGGGATTGCTTATGTTGAAACAGACTCTCAAAGTGCATTGTCTAGTTGCATTAAACTAGCATATACCATAGCCCTGAGAGAGCCCCAACCAACTGTGCGGACTTACTCGACAAGGGCAGAGGCAGCCACAGCAGCATTCCTACAGGGTGTCTCATCAGAACACATCTGTAGGGCTACTATCTGGACGTCAACACATACCTTCACCCAATATTATGCTATACAGACATTTGCTGAGTCAGAGACAATATAATGATAGGTTCTAAATTAGCTGTTACCACTCAGGAAATAGATCTAGTGGTTATTTTGGATAGTTCTCTGCACCCTTTTGAAAAATCCCACGGCTGTTTGTTTCATCAACACAGGGATTGCTTATGTTGAAACAGACTCTCAAAGTGCATTGTCTAGTTGCATTAAACTAGCATATACCATAGCCCTGAGAGAGCCCCAACCAACTGTGCGGACTTACTCGACAAGGGCAGAGGCAGCCACAGCAGCATTCCTACAGGGTGTCTCATCAGAACACATCTGTAGGGCTACTATCTGGACGTCAACACATACCTTCACCCAATATTATGCTATACAGACATTTGCTGAGTCAGAGACAACATTTGGCCACACAATACTCAGCCTCACAAGCTCAGCATTTGAAGCTCCCACCACAAATACTGCTTCGTAATCACCTAAGCTGGAACACCCATAGGGACACTCCTTGAAGAAGGGAAGGTTACTCACCTGTGTAGTAACTGGAGTTCTTTGAGAGAGTTGTCCCCATGGGTGTTACACCACCCACACTCCTTCCTCCTGCTTCGGAATACAGCCCGTCCGGGTCAGAGAGGGAACTGGGGGGGGGTGGGGAGCCGTCCGCACATGCGCAGTCGCCTCCTCAGAACACACACCGGCTCCCTGCACGCCTGGCCAGACAGGGTACTGCTGTCACAAATCTCCCGCCTCAAGCTCAGCGGTGCTGAAGCACCTAAGGTGGAGCGCCCATGGGGACAACGATCTTGAAGCACTCTAGTTACTACACAGGTGAGTAACCTTACCTTCTGTATAAATTTCCCCTGTGATACTGCAAAAGCGACGAGGAGTCCTGTGGCACCTTATAGACTAACTGAAGTGTAGGAGCATGAGCTTTTGTGGGCAAAGACCCACTTCGTCAGATGCATGTAGTGGAAATTTCCAGAGGCAGGAATAAATATGTAGGCCAGGATCAGGCTGGAGATGACGAGGTACTGGCCACTATTGCAGACAGGATATAGCTGAATGTAAGCTTGTGACATTCCTAGGTGTAATCCAAACCAATGAGAGGTTGTATCGAACTTGCAATCTGGAGTGCCTCTCAGTCTTTGGTGCTGTAGCTTCCACCGGACAACTCAGAAAAAGCTGCCACCATGCAGATCACACCCTGATTGTCTGTGTATAGTCACAGCCCAGCAGTTTGTCAGCCATACACCAGCCACATTCTAGTTTTCAGCAGCTTTGGTTACTACTTGTAGGGTGACCTCCAACATATTCCCAGTCCCAAATTTCCCTAAAAAATTATTCTTCTGGACAGTCCACGTGTGTTGAGTCCATTAGCCTTCTAAGTGGATCAATATACAACAGATTGCTACCCTAAATAGAGTTACCCACACAGTTAACAACGTTGGATTAGTTTTGATTAGTTAGTTTTGAAACTAACTTATGGAGTGGTTTTAAGTGAGTACACACATAATGCATCAAAGTTAGAAATAGTTACAAGAGAAATAAAGACAAAACACTTCCTAATACTAAAATTTAACAGATTAGACTTGGTTCTAGATGAAAATACTTGCCAGAGGGTCCCAGTAACATTGTTGACCAAAGTCTCATTCCAGGATTTCCTTCCAAAGGCTGTTTCTATTTTCTTTGTAAGTGAAAGAGAAGTGGATAAGGAGAGAACACTTGGGGTGGTTTTGCACCTCACTTTTAGTCAGTCACCCTTTGAAATGCTTTTTCCTGAGGGTTACCCCAAAATAAAATTCTTTCCCACTGGTGACAGAAACAAGGCAAGGCATCTCATGGTGATAGAGCTTTCATGCTGTTGTTTTCTAAGATGCAGATCTGTTTGTTCCTGCCCCTCTTCCTTGCTGAAGATTGGCCACTTGACAGGTGATTGCCCATCAGCTTTGATGATACCTGGGTAGAGGCATCAGCTTGTCCTTCGTCTTTGAGAAAATGATTTACCCACTCCCCAGACTTGTCTGGTAAACACACTTCAGTCATGATTTCATCTTACATTCATAACTTAATATATAATGTTTCTGTATTCATTTTACCATGATATTACTGACCAGCTAGTTATTACTTATGAAATGATATCCTACAAAGTATATTTTGTACATCAATTATTACAGTAGTGTGTAAGGTATAAATACAGGAGTGCATTCCATCACAGAAGTATCAGAATCAAGAATGTAAGTTATATTTATGAGTTCCTAGACTGTATCCTGGAAAGGAGTGACTGTATCCTGGAAAGGAGTCATAGTACTTCCCCATTTGTCTGTATCCGTTTCTTGTCTCTTTTCTTGTACTCAGTCTGTAAGATGCTTGGGTGAGAGACCTCTTTATTTTGTGTTAGTGCAGCACCTTGCATGATGGGGTATATATTAGGGCTCAAAGGTTCTGCTATATTATTACTTCTAAAAATAGTAAGTAGTGATAAATAACCAGTTGTACATTTGCTCCCAGTGTGCTGATGTTGGTCAGGTACATATAAATAGGCAAATATCAAGTAGGACTGTGGAGATGTATATGACATTAATGATACCATTACTGAATACCCAGAAATGATGTTGAAAATTGGAAACAGTTTAGAAAATGATTAGCTGTCTGAAAAATATGCCACTTGAGTAGCATGATCTGTTTAGTTTATCCATGAAAAGCCTGAAGAAATTACTCTGTAATTTGTAAGTACCTTCATAGGTGAGACTTGGGATAGCAGACAATGCTTTAGTCTAGCAGAAAAAGATTTGAGACGTACTCGTTATAACTGAAACAGGCAAATTTAAACTAAAACCAAGATTCACATTTTTTAACAGTAAAGGTAATTAACCACTGTAATAATTTACCTCGTTATGTGGTGGATTATCATTCATGAACTGCTTAAATCAAGAGTAGAGATCTTTCTGAAAGATATACTGTTGCTCATACTATAGTTTTGGGCTCGATGTAGAAATTAAGTTGAGGGTCTTTTTCCCAGGTTATATGCTGTAGGTCAAACTAGATTATCATTGTGGTCCCTATTAAATCTGTGAACTATGGTCAGTTCCATTGGTAAAAGACTAAAAAAAAAAACTCTTAAGAGATTAAATTAAAATTGTTGGCACTATAAAAAAGAATTTCCAAACATCCTAGAATGTTTTAAACTGAAGTCCTAATTTTCTTTCTCTTAAAATATTATGGGTTTATAGTCATTTTTAAACTATAACTTTTAATAGTATTACTAGTTATCTACAAACTTAACTCCAATCTTAATGATCTTGTCTGTGGTTATATTATTATAAAGCTGTTTACTCTGAATTTTCTTTGTGAAGGAAATTGCTCTTTCCTTATTTTTTTAATTCTATTCCATCTATTCCCTTCATTCATCAACTCTAGTGAATACTCCAGTGATTACTCAGATTGGACCGCAGATGCAGGAATTAATCTGCAGCCACCAAAGAAAATACCTAAACTTAAAACCAAGAAAGCAGAGAGCAGTTCAGAGGATGAAGAAGGGATTGAAAAACAGAAGCAGAAGCAAATTAAAAAGGAAAGGAAAAAAGGGAATGAAGATAAAGATGAACTGACAACATCACCAAAGAAAAGGAAACCTAAAGAGAGAAAAAAAAAGGTTGAGTACATTTTATAATTATAGGACACTTATTCATAGTGTTACAAAAGGAAGTAAAAAGGCATGGGTAAATTTAACACGAGTTCATGCAAAACCAAAATACCTTCTAACAATTTGAGAATACATCTTAAATTTTGTTTATGTAAATATTGGCTATCATGAATGTTAATTGGCTGTTATAAGCTTTGCATGTAATGGTTTTCTTTGCCTGAGTTGTTTTTGTAGTGCTTATTTTTATTCTCTATATTTGAGGTGTTTCACCTCCTGAATGTATTGGTGTTCCTACAACCAGGAATTCAAACTTTTCTGTGACTACCACTTTATGGCCACTTTATGGAGCCCAAGAAGATAAAGAAGTGTTGCTATCAACTGCAAGTATGAAGGCCTTGCAGGAAGTAAGGATGTTAAGTAGTGGGTAACTGGCTAATCATGTACTTGATACAATTTGTATCGAGTACATGATTAGTCAATAATGGGCCCCCACTGCCGCTCTGCAGTTTAAATGTAGTAGGAGCTGGGTGCACAGGCAGCTCAGCTGCTACTACATTTAAACTGGAGACCTGCAGCAGGGTTAAGTCTGGGACCAGTCATTGTCCAACTCTGACAATGACTTCTCTAAGGGTTTTTCACCAGAGAATTCCCCTTATACAGCTCAGAGTATCTACTCTCCCAGATTCGGGAATATGCCTCCGTATTATGGCAGTCCCTGGGCACCTCCACCTCAGCTTTACCCATATTGGCAATACTGGGACGAATGGCAATTTTACTAGAAACATCAGCGGGTCTGGAAGAAACAGAGTGCAATATTCCCTCTCCAAACAAATACAGGGAGAACCACTTTCACAAGAGAATGTGACTCCTCCTGACCCAAAGGACGCTCCCACAAGTGGAGAAAGGGTGTATGGCCCCAGCTTCAATGACTTCAGACGTCACTACACATTTCCAAGACCTTTTTAAAGGTGTAGCTGCGGAATTGAACATTCCTCTCCAGGAGGTTCTGGAAAATCAACACAACCTAACAGACATACTTCACTCAGTAACACCATCAAAAATAGCATTGCCAATCAATCCAGCAAAAATGGAACCTGCAAAGACACTGTGGTAAACTCCAGTGTCAATCTCTTCTACTGCTAAGAGAACTGATAAGAAATATTATGTCCCACCCAAAGAGTCACAATTCCTTTTTTCCCCACCCAGCACCTAATTCTCTTGGTGGAGGTTGTGAAACAAAAATCCAAACAACAATACTAGTCTACTCCATCAGACCGTGAAAGCAAAAGACTCAATGCATTTGGACACAAAATATATATGTTTTCTACTTTACAATTTCACATTTCAAATTACGCCGCTTTATTGAGCAAATACAATTATAGAAATTACACCAAATGGAATGACTTTGTTGCAGACATTCCTGAGGCTGAGGCAACAATACATAGCATTGATATCCGAAGGTCACAAAATTTCAAGAACAGCATTGCAGGCTGCCATAGACGACACTGACATGGCTGCATGTTCTACAGCAACATCAGTAGTAATGAGATGGGCATCGTGGTTTAGCTCCACTTCATTTCTCAGGAAGATTCAATCTACAGTAGATGATCTGCCCTTTGACGGCCAGAAGCTGTTTGCAGTTAACACCAGCAAAACTCTTCACTCTATGAAGGACTCCAGAGTAATGCTGCAATCTTTTGGGATCCACAACCAAGCACCAAGAAGAAGGCAATACAGATTTCTCAGATTTGTTGTAGGTCAAGACTATTACCGATACTGGGTCCTTCACTTTGGTCTTTCCACGGCCCCTCAAGTTTTCTCAAAGATGTTAGCCATGGTCACAGCTTTTCTGAGAAGACAAAACGTCATCATCTTTCCCTGCCTCGATGACTGTTTAATCACACATCAACAAACTATAGCTATGACAACCACTACCAGAGAATGCTTTTTCCCATTTGGCCTACTTATCAATGTATACAAGTCTACCATACAACCCGCACAAAAGATAGAATTTATCAGAGCACTTCTAGTTTCAGTTACAGCAAGAGCCTGCCAGCTATCACAAAGATTCAAGGCACTATGCGACCTTACTTGGGAGGTCAAGCATACTCCCTTTTCCACAGCCCGCACGTGCCTCCCAATTACTGGTGCACATGGCAGCTACAACCTTTGTAATCCTATTTGCGAGGCTACATATGTGCCGTCTACAGCATTGGCTCGCAACGACCTACATTTTAAACCAACCATGAGGCATGTCTCACTTCCTCTGCCAGTTCTACAACCTCTCAACTGGTGGACTTCTCCAACCAACCTACTTGCCAGCATACCCTTCCACCTTCCGGATCTGTCTGTAACAATAATGATGGATGCATCGCTTCTGGGTTGGGGTGCCCATTGTGGCACAATGACAATACAGGGCAGATGGCCCCAACTGGAGAGGCACCTTCATATCAAAATCCTGGAGCTCAGGGCCATTTGCAAGGCATGCTCTCACTTCCTCCCTTTGATAAAGGGCAAAACCATTTGTGTCCTCACGGACAACACACCCCTTGTTTTACATCAGTCGATAGGGGAGTGCCCGATGATGCTCACTATGTGCAGAAGCAATCAGATTTTGGAACAGGAACCACATACTCCAACCACCACATATATACCAGGACAGAAGAATGTGAGGGCCGACAAACTGAGCAGACATTTCTCAAAGCAACATGAGTGAGAAATCCTCTGTTTTTTGCAAGTGGGGAGTTTCAATAATAGACCTTTTTGCAACAGTACTCAACCACAAATGCCACAGATTCTGCTCCTGGGCAGGGCAAGAGGTCAGAGGGGGATGCCTTCACTATTCACTTGACAGCTCCCCTACTTTATGCCTTTCCATCAATCCCCCTACTCTCTAGGGTGATCAACAAGATTCAGTTGAATCAGGCCACAGTAATTCTAATAGCCACCACCTGGCCGAGACAACCCTGGTTCTCTTACCTGCACTACCATTCAATAGATCAACCGATCCCCCTCCCTCCTAACGCAGCATCATGGCAAGACATGCCATCTGAATATCAAACTCTGAAATGCACAGCATGGCTTCTCCATGGTTCCAAAAATGAGGAATTTACCTGTTAGTCTTCGAGTGCTTGCTTATGTCCATTCCACTTAGGGTGTGCACGCTATGTGCACAGGTTTTGGAAGCCTTAGCAGTACCTGTTGGGCCAGCCAAGGAGCCCCCTGGAATGGCACCGGTATAACCATGCATATATTCCTCTGCTGGTCCCCCCCCACCCTCTCAGTTCTTTCTTACCACTTGTGTTGGTTGCTGGTGCTGGTTGCAATCGCAAGTGTGCCCTTAGCACTCTTGTCTCGTGTAAATAGTTCTTTAGTGTTATTGAGGTTTTTGTTAGAATAGTTAGTAGATAGTACATTCCCATTGTTCCCCCACCATGGGGGTTATGCTGGGACCCCAGGGCTTCAAACCCTGCCTGCAGTGCTCAAAGTGTATGGCCTGCGGTTACCCATACAAAGAGTGCCTAAAGTGCCTGGGAAAAGGCCACTTGACGAACTCTTGCAAGATCTTTAAGTCCTGTAAGCCGAGGACTTGGAGAGAACGGGATTCTATACTCAAGTTACTCCTAATAGAGTCGGAACTCCAATCACTGGCACTGGAGTCAGCACCGTTGGTGAGGAGCGCACCAGGGTCGATCCAGGATGATGGATATACGTCAAAGCACTCTTCGGCATTGGAGCACTGGCCAGTGCCAAGACACCGATCCCAGTCCCTGGCACTGAGTGCATGTAAGAAGGCGCGAAGAGGCAGATCACCCTCGAGACAGGACCAAGGGGTATGTCCGCTATGGGGACATGCTGTGGCTTCATCTCTGGCATGCCATAGGTGCAGGCCGAGCCCGGCAACCCAGACCTGTCCGTGGAGGAGGTCTCACAGCCGTAAATGCCAAAAACGTTTGTCAGCCCGGGAGTTAATTGAACTCACATCTTTCCTGGGGCCAGCACCCCACAGCATGGAGGCTCATGCAGGCCGAGAACACCAGGGGTTGGGATGGCCCCGGCATTGCCTTCGGTGCTGCCTCCTTTGTCACTGGGATGTGAATCTTGTCCAGCACTGACTGCAATGACGACACCGGCCCCACCAGTTCAGGATCTGGTGCGGATCAGAATAACTGCCCTTCCAGTGCCACCAAAGCTGCATCTCCCAGTACTGGAGACCTCGTCTATGCCCCTGCTGGTGCCGCCACCACCACACTGGGACAAACAGTCAGCTCTGGCGCAACACAGCCAGTACTATGAGCATCCGTACCATGAGCATCCGTTGTCTGCAGCACCACCCTGGTCCGCAGCAGAGTACTCCTCCAAGTCGAATTTGGAATCCTTGTCTTCTGGGACCTCTTCACATTGCTCTGCCAAGTCACGAAGGTCAAGGTCCATGCACAGATCAAGGTCTCGGCATCGGTCCCGTTCATGGCACTGACCAAGGAGGGTCAGTCCAACTACGGTGCTGTCATGGCCCCCACAATTGCAGATGCCGACTCATTGGCCCTTTTGGACCCCATTGGGGTACCACCAAGCCCAGGGCCAAGGCCCCTCAAGTTTGGGATGGTTGTGGCCTCATCGTACTTGTGCAATAGGGCTACCCTCTTGGCTACCCCACTTATGAATCGGGTGAGGGCTCTGCATGCCCATTTCAGCATCCACCTTTGGTGGGCTCTACCTAAGTGCAGCTCACTCAACCTGTGCTAGTTGTGCCCCTAGAAAGGTGACCTCAATGGAAGGACTCTCATCTTTGTTACCGGACAAAGCCTTGGCAGACCCGTCCCTGGCCATGGACATGCAATCGCATCAGGAACTCCTCAGGCGGTTAGTCCGGAACTTGGGGGTGCAGGCCAAGGAGGTCAAGGAGGATTCAGATCCAGTGATAGGCATCCTTACAGTGGATGCCCCAATGAGGATTGCCCTCCCTCTCAATAAAACAGTTGCAAAAATCACAAAAAGCCTTTGGCAGA